GCCAGGCCAGCAGGAAACGGGAATCACCTGGACTCATTCCTTCTGGCACCTGCAGGATACAAAGCGTAGGGTGTTTCCCTTCATCCTGGGGCACCCGGTGCCGTCTCTACGGGGAGGAGGCGGTCCGGGAGCTAGAATGTTCCAGGTTGTTAGACGATGCACTGGAGAGTTCAGGGACCCTCCCTTCCCCTCTGATGACTCAACGTGAGCTGAGACATTTCCTCGCACCAGTGAAATGAGGAAGTGGCCCCCTCGACAATTAACATAAATGTTTATCGTAGGAGCTTCTGGCGATGTGGAAAAGAACAGAGAACAGGCAAAGGCCTCCTGTGATCCTGGTGTGGAGCCCATCGCCACCGCTGGGCCCTCCCCTTCCTCAGGTCACCTCAGATGTCAGAGCAGCACACTGCGTGGAGTGCTGGACAAGCGTGTCCCCGTGAGCCCTGATTTCCGTGCATTTCATCAGGGGCCATAAGACTGTATTTGCTGGAGATCCGTCATTCCCCCGCCATTCCCAGGCTCTGCTGGGAGAGACCCCATGGACACCGGCTCCAACGCTGCCCGCCCGGCTGCCCAGGGAAGGCTGGAGACCGGCAGGTGCAAAAGGCAGTCGGGTCCCCTGGTTCCTCCCCTCAGCAGGTGTTTCCCCGGGACGGGCCCCCCCCCCCCCAGGAGCAGCCTGCCTGGTGCCGAGTGCCAGGTAGGGAGCTGCCTGTGTCAGCAGCGAGCAAGAGACCCGCAAACAAACTGCCCCGCTGTCTGACAAGGGCTGTGGAGCCAAGTGCCAGGAAGGGGAGCTGTGGGTGCGGCAGAGGCCGGCCTGTAGGGTCTCGGATGGGCCCTGCCCTTGACCAGCCCGACTGTGAGTGGCCTGGCTGCGTCTCAGATCCGGGATGGACCCTGTGATCCGGGCCAGGGAGCTTTGGTGTGTGGCCTGGCCCTGAACTAGACACGCTTTCCGCTTTCCCCGCCTACATTGCCAACACACAGCTTCTTCCCTTCCTGAGCAAAAGTTAGTTTCTCTGCACGCGGCAAGCACAGGTTGCCTCTGGAGGCAGGGAGAGGGGACCGGCTGCGGAGAGGCCTGATGTCCTGCTCTTTCCCTGTCCCTGGCCTTGCTCTGCTCCCCAGGCCCCAGAGCCTCCTCCTGTCTCTCTGCGCACACCGGGGGTCCGCGCCCCAGGACCCGCTTGCCCACCCGTGGAGCAGGAAGGACCCCGTGGCATAAGCACTGGGACTGAGAGATTCCACCGCAGGTTTCGAAAACCCTGCGTCAGTTCGAGACAAAACCCAGCAGACAGATAGAACCAAACCCAGCGCTGCGTGAGTGGACCTGGAGCCCGTTTCCAGCCGCGGGTGGGACTGTTGGCCAGACACGGGGCCGGGGCTCCGCCGGGCACTGATGACCCTCCTCACCTTTCCAGGGACAAGTAGGGGACCAGCACCGCCCTCTCTGTCATTTCTGTCATCGCTCCCTGGGGAAGGAGGAACGGGATGCCAACGACTGCAAGGAACAGAGAGAAAGCCAGCGGCGCCCGGCGCTCTGCCCGTCCCACACACTCTAAGCTCCAGCACTGCCCTCCTGATCACCCCACAGACCAGCCGAGTGTCCGAGGACCCCCCCAGCGCACACATTGGGACGGCTCTGTCTCCCGGGCCTTTGCTCTGGACACCCCCACACTCTGCCCCTCCGCTGCCTGTCCCCCAGGTCTCCCTTGCCCAGGGCACGTCTGTGGGGTGAGTTGATACGTGTTGGCCCTCCTGGGGGCTGAGCGCAGTTCCCACGGAATAGGGGTCTGCGTGGACGAGGCTGGGAACCCACAGCACAGTGTTAGCGGAATGACACGCGGGCTTTTCTGTGAGCCTCTCGCTATTCTCCATCTGTTCTACAGTGATCACATTTGCTGGTAAATGAAGGGGGAAAAGATGTGATGCCACGGAAACGGCAGAGCAATGACCCTGCAGTAACACAGTAAGGGGGGAAAAGAATGCAGAATATATGCTTTTACAGCAATGAGTTGAGCCATCATAAGTGTTTCAGAGTAGAAAGACTTACTTTTGTACTTCTTGCTGTTGATAGCACTTTTCATTCCACAGATCGTCCTCTGATGCTGGCGTTCTTCCCTAAGCCTGCAAAGGTGGGCTCATCCCTGCCTCGGGGTTTCCAACCAGAGGGGGTGAGCCCAGGAGAGGAGAGGGGAGGAGGGGAGAGAAGGAGGGGAGGGGAGAGAAGGTGAGAAGGGGGGAGGGTTGGGGAAGAGGGGTAGGGGAGGGAGGGGGAACCCCCAGCCACAGGAGCAGGGCGGGATGCATCACCAGCCCTGCTGCTCCAGCCGCCCTCCCTAGAGCCCCAGACAGGCCCCAGGACCAGCATCAGTCACACCTGTGACGGCAAGTCTTCTGATCTGAAGATGTGGGAATGGGCAGGGCTGATCACTCAGCATCCGGGACATTGAGAGCAACACCGCAGTGAGACCCCACCTCATGACGGTCACAACGGCTACAACCAGCCAGTCGGGAAACGACAGGTGCTGGCCAGGATGCGGAGAAAGGGGAGCCTCCTGCACCGTTGGTGGGAACGCAAGCTGGGGCAGCCGCTCTGGAGAACAGCGTGGAGGGTCCTCAGAAAGTTGAGAATAGAGCTGCCCTACGACCCAGCAACCGCACTACTGGGTATTTACCCCAAAGATGCAGATGGAGTGACCCGAAGGGGCCCCTGCCCCCCAGGGTTCACAGCAGCGACGCCCACAACAGCCAGACTGCGGGAAGAGCCCGGATGTCCGTCGGCAGATGAACGGACAGAGAAGACGGGGTTCGTCTACACAACGGAATGTGACTCGGCCATCAGAAAGGGAGACGTCCTGCCCTTTGCATCGACGTGGATGGAACTGGAGGGGATTGTGCTGAGCAAAGTCAGTCAGTCAGAGAAAGACAATTACACGATCTCACTCGTATGTGGGATTTAAGAAACAAAGCAGATGAACATAGGGGAAGGGAACCTCTCTGGTTAGAGAGAGAGACAAATCGTGAGAGACTCTTAACTCCAGGAGACAAACTGAGGGTTGCTGCAGGGAACGGGGTGGGGGATGGGGAAATGGGGGGGGCGGGCATTCAGGAGGGCACGTGACGGGACGAGCTCTGGGTGTTGTGTGCACCTGGGACTCCCTGACCGCTACCTCTGAGACTAACAATACCTTACATCTTAACTAGTTGAATTTAAATAAATTTTTTTTAGAAAAGAATGAGCTGGGCTGGGTGGAAGCAGGACCAGCCTGGAGGGCAGGTGACCTGGGAGAGGGAGCTGCTGCCCTTCAGAGCCCTCCCTACAGCGGGCGGGTTTCTGACCCACAGACAGAAGGCAGGGTGGACCGGCAGACCGACAGGTGGAGCGTGATGCACAGGAGGGGGCCACTGAGACCCAGACATGCTCCTGCCCACCACACTCAGCACACGTGAACACAGCATGCACGCACAGGCACATGTGCAAAACCCCTCCCCCGGCACTGCACCAGCACCCAACAGACACAGACACACCCCGCGGGGGGACCCCAGTCCACCTCTCTGTCCTCACATGGAACAAAAAATTTCCAAAACTCTGTGCTAATCATTTCTCATCCATGTTGTTCTCTCATGTTTAAAAAAGTGGGTCACAATCCTCTATTTGATTTCTGTCCTTGCCATGGACCACCAGTGCCCTTTTTCACCCAACCTGGAGAACCCGGTAGGGACAGAAGAGGATGCATCAGAACCCTTAGCTCAAAACTCAGCCAAAGGCAATGGTGCTGGGGCCTCTGCCCTCTGCAAACGCAGAGAACACCAGGTACAGGGGAAAGGCCGTTTACTCTGGGAAGCTGGATGTGACAAGCTCTGGTTGAGTGCAGGGGACTTGGGGGGCTGTGAGGGCGGGACCGCAAGGGCACAACTGCCAGAAGTCGCCTGAGGCTTGCAGCCAGGCTGGGTTCTGGAGCTCTGGCCTGAGAAAGTGCCCGGAGGAGCAGACATAACTCCCGGAGGGGAGGGGGAAGGCTCTGGTGAGGGGCAGCTGCACCCCAGAGGGGAATGAGGCGCTTGTGGCCAACTCCTGGGGGCAGGAGTACACCCGGGGCGAGCTGCGTGGCCTTCTCACTCCCCCACCCCGACCGCTCAGGGCCCTCTGTAAAGTGGGGGCAGGGCCCCACCGGGGTGGAGGGCGCACTGGGGCTCCGTGGGGAGTAGGGCCCATCCACCCCGAGCCGCCGCAGGAGGCCGGCAGCGGGGATTGGGGGAACGCTACTGTCCTGGGCCCGCGCCCGTGGAGGCAGTGAGGCTGGGGGTCCGCCACGACGCGGCCACTGTGCCCACGACGCTGGGCAGGAGGAGCTCAGCGTCCTCCTCCTCCTCCGCTGTCCTCCAGCAAGAAAGGTCTTTGTTCAACCGCCCGCCAGCCGGACGCACTGAGTACCCGCGGACCCTGCGGGGTTTGGAGGCCGGGACCCCACGTGCGACCTTGGGCGGAGGCGGGAGGCAGCTACCTCAGGGGCGGGGGCGCGGGCGGGCCACGAGCGCAGGGGACAGAGGGCGGGAGCGGGGAGAAAGCGCCAGGACCCAGGGGAGCGGCGGATCATCCGGCTCCGGGCTTGCGTCCCGTTCCGCGCCCCGTTTGCCCCCGCGTACTCCCCGCCGTCCACCACCGGGTCCAACCCGGCGCCCGAGGCCCTGCACCCCGCGGGGTCGCGGCTCCTCCCCTGCGGGCCCGGCCGCCCCCGGCCGGCCCCGGCCGGCCCCAGCCCCGCCCCGCCCCGCCGGGTCTCCGCTCCTCCTCCGCGCGTCCCGAGGCCCCCGGCCGCCCCTGGCTCCGCCCCGCTCGGTCCCCGCCTGGTCCCGGCCCGTTCCCTGCGCCCCGCCCCCGCTCCCCGCCCCGCTCCCCGCCCCCGTTCCCCGCCCCGCCCCGCCAGGGCCCGTCCCCGCACCCCCGGCCCACCTCCCCGCCCCGCCCCGCCCCGCCTCTGCCCGACCCGGCGGCCGAGCGCTCAGCATCCGCGGCGCGGACTGTCGGGCCCGCAGAGCATGGCGCCGAGGTGCGGGGTGGGCAGGGGCAGCGGGTCGCTCGGGCGGGCGGTGGACACGCGCGGCGCTCTAACCTGGGGTCTGTGGCCTGTCGCCCGCAGGTGGCCTTGGCTGCGGCCGCGGTCGCGGTCGCGGAGCCTCCTGGACGTGCTCGCCGCGCTGGTCCTGCTGCTCGGAGTGCGCGCGGCCTCCGCGGAGCCAGGTAAGACCCGGCGGGGACGCGACGGTTGGCTCGCCGCGCCGGCCCCCTGCCAGGGGCGCTGGGTGCGGGCGTCCGGCCCGTCCAGGCGGCGGCGGCGGCCTTACGCCCGGCTCATCTCGGCTTCGGTCCCGGGAGGCTGCCCGGCTCTGCCCACGCGCGCAGGTGGCTGCGGGGGCCGAGTGGAGGGGGACGGGGTCGCGCCGAGGCCCTGTGTCCCGAGTGTCCCGCGCCGGCCATTCATTCTGAGGCTGCGGGGGTTCGCGGCACCCCGGCGGGGTCGGAGACCGGGCTGGGCCGAGGGGTAGCGGGGACCGTCCACTTCCTGAGCCCTTCGCGTCGTGACCAAACTTGGGCGACTCGGCTGGGAAGCTGGCGCGCTGGGCGGACCGCGCTGCGGGCGGAGGGCGGACGAGGGGCCGGGGCTGCGGCGGCGGCGGCCGTTTCACGCGCAGGGGCTCCGGAGGCGCGGCTCGTCAGCCGCTGGCCCGCAGGGCCTGTGTCCGCGTCACCGGGCTCGTCCCTCCCGGCGCCTGAATGGCCGCAGTGGGTCGCGCCTCCGGGCCAGGGAGTGACCGCGCGGGCCCTGGCAGGTCCGTGCAGCGCGGAGCGCCCTCGTTGCGTTTCCAACCTGTTGAGGCGAAACCAGGGCCAGCCTTTGTGCACCGCCGGGCCGCCAGGCCTGTGTCCCCGCGCCCGCCAGGGTGTCGGGTTGCGCGCGGTCCCCTTTGATGCGGCCGAGCGCCAGGCCGGCGGCCGGGAACAATGCCCCGAAGCCCGCTGTTTGGCCGGCACCCCGGGCTTTCCCCGCGTGGGCCGCCAACCATGCGCAGGGCCGCGGTCCCAGCCGCGCTGCGACTTCCTGTGCCGGCTCCTGGGACCCCAGCCCCAAACACACGGTGGGCCAGCTTGTCTTCCTAACTGGCCCCACAAAGGCCCCGGAGGAGGAAGAGGCCCTGGGGCCTGCCAGTCACGGAAGGGAGCCCCCACTGCAGGGGAGTCTCGGGTTTAGTCCCAGGTAGAGCGGCAGTGCTGTGCGGACATTTGTCCCCAACAGCCCTCTTCTCCAGGCTGGCTTGACTGTGGGAGAATGTGGACTGTGGTCACCACAGCAGCAACATGCCTGCTGGCCACAGCTGGCCAGGAAGGAGGGACAGGACTTGAGAGAAACAATCGCTTGTTACACTGTTTCTAGTAGGTGTCCCCCCGGCCGAGACAGCCCCGTGGACTTTTCTGAAAAGGGACTCACTCGTCACTACATCTGCGGGAAGCACCTGTTTGTTTCCTCCTCCGTGTGAGTCAAGTCCAGGGGCCCTTGGGGAACACGTTTGTCCCTACACCTTGTTGTGTTCCCTGGGCTCTTACCCACCTCCCAGGCCGCTGGGGGCCATAAGTCCTGGCTTGAGGGGCTGTCCCCGCAGCTGTGGGGTGGGGGGCGAGGCCCACAGGGACCAGGCCAGGGCTGCACGTGTTGGAGTTTGTAAGCCCCACGCCTCCTCCCTCCTCTGACCCTGGAGCGCCCAGCCGCTCCCCCCCACCGCCCTTTATGAAACTTTGTAATCAAAGGGGAGGAAATCAGGGTTGATGGCTTTTAGCCACAGAGTGGAAACAATACGATGTTATGTTCGTAAGCTTTGGTGAGATGTAATCTTGAGATCTGAGGGTAGGGTGTTGGACTTAAGGTCGACTTCTGAGGGGGCGGGTAGTGCTGGTGGCAAAAACCGTGTGTGCTCAGTGTCCCCAGCACTCCTGGGGCTGTGCTGGGGTGGCCCAGGTCTAGGGTCCTCTAGGAAGGAAGCCGCCCCTGGTGGAATGCAGGTCTCTTTGCGTCCTAGAGGTTAATGCAGGAGGCCGTCTCGGCGGGGAGCATGGGCTCACCCCTGCTGGGACTAAGTCCTCTTGAAATGGGATAACACATGCCCCCTCTAGGTGTTACTGGAGAAGACTTAGTGTGTGTGAAATCCTAACTTAGCAGAGGCTCAATTTTTTCTAGAAACCCTTAGACATCATCCTTGGGAATTAAAGGTTTGAGGCCCAGTTTGCTGATTTGCACATTTTGGGGAACAAAAATGATGCATTTTTCCATGTCTCTGTCTGTGTTGCGCCTGACCCCTCCCCTGCAAAAAAGAAGAACGTCTTTTGCTATTTCGTCTAAGGATTGCTCATGTGGGTCTGATGGTCATAAACGAGCTGGTGCCTTTACCCTCACCCCACCCCCCCGTAACTAGGTGCCTGGGGGGTCTATGGGCCGAGCTGTCTGTGACCTCGGAGACTCAGTGCTGCCAGCAGACCCGCTGACTTGGTGGACGTGTGTGGGTTCCCAGGGTCTGATGTGGCTGCGCACGCCTGCAGTGTTTGTGAGCAGTGGGTCAGATCGGGGTTGGGGCACAAGGATAGAGTCTGGCGGGCATTTGCAGGGAGCCCTGGACCCTGGTGCCCATCCAAGCCATCTTGTATCTGGCCTTGGCAGACCCCTGCCTTCGGCCCCGGGCTCCCACCCCTTCTCACTGCTAGGATTCCCGCAGGAAGCTCGGGGTACCTGGGTGGGCCTCCGGGGGCCTGGTTTGAACAGACAAAGCACAGATCCTGGGGCCCCCATGTCTGTGGGGGGTCTGTCATTCTGGGGGCACGGCTCCCTGGTCGCATCGGACCAAAGCAGATGGCAAGCACTCGTCTGAGGTGGCCTGGTTCTAGGGCCTGGTTCTCGGTGAAGCTGTGGCCCGGCTTCAGGGCCGCTGTCAGGGTTCGGGTACACGACTTCATAAGATAGTTTTGAATTTCAGCAAAACTCGTTTTTCAGGGTACTCCTGTTTTCCTTCAGAAGCGGGAGGAGAGGGGAAAGTGCTATGGGGCGAAACCTAGAAAGAGCGACACTGACCCCATCCAGAGGGCCCTGCCCCCACCCTCCCTGCATCTCCCCGACACGCGCGTGCAATGCTTACACGTTTGTGCACGCGCACACACACATGCACGCACATGCACACACTCAGCACACGCACGGGTCTGTGCACACACGCACACACAGGCCAGCACACTCACATGCGTGCGCACACGTCCACGCGCTCTCCACCAGGAGGACTTAGTTCCCTTCATCCAAATTGTTGCAAAGGCTTGGCTCTCTGCGCCCTAAGGAGAGGGGGCAGGGCTCCGGGTGGGGCGGGTAGGGCCCACCCCCTGCCCCCGTGTGGGCGGTGAGGCCGCCCCAGAACAGGCCCGGGACCCCAGGGGCGTCCAGGCTGGGAGGGAAAGCTGCAGAGGGAGGCGTCTCCTCCATGCCCCACTTCTCAGCCTCGTCTCGGGCTGGGGAGGCCTACCTGCTTCTCTTCCACTAGCGGCCATCCACCCGCCCCCCAAAAGGGGGTCCGTTAGAGCTGTATGCTGCCGGTTGTGCACGTCAGGGCACATGGCCATGGACATGCGTTGGAGACCCTTGTCCCCTCCCCCCAGGCACCTTCCAGGGGAGGCCGAGGTTCCCTAAACCCTCCTCGCCGAGAATGTGCCGAACAGGGCAAAGCCCGTCTTCTGATACGACGTCCAGTGAGCCTCGTCCAGTCTCATGGCCCAAGGCCTGCTGGGAAGGGCCGGACCGCCAAGGGGTGGTCTCCAGGGTGGCGGGGGGGAGGGGGGTGGGCGGGTGCTGACCTCCTGCCGGCCAGCTCAGGGGTCAGAGGAGGGTGTGTGTGGGGAGGCGAGCAGGTCTCGCTGATGAGCAGCCGGTGGCCCCAGCTCTGGCTGTGGTGGCTCCGGCTGCGGGGCTGGCCGTTCCTCACGCACGTGTCCTGCCGATCTGGCCCAGGTGTGGTTCCCCCGTGCCGCTGGGGGCCTGTCACAGGTGTTGCATTCTGCTGTCCCTCTCCTAAGGCCCTGGGAGGCTGTTCCCTGGGGGGTGATCTGCCTATGCCCGGGGTGGGGGGGGCACCCCTCTCCAGAGATCACAGCTGGCCGGCCGAGCGCCTGCCATCCGCGCTTCAGCCTCAGCCGGGACAGGTGGACGTCCCGGGACCCGACGTGTGAAACTCCCAGACCCCTGACACTGTTCTGGAGGGGGAGGGTCCAGTACTGGGAGAACTAAAACGCGTGTTTGCTGTGCTGGTAAGATTGTCGCATTCGGTGCGGTTTGAAAGTAAGAGCAGTAGAACAGTGCGCTCTGGGCCCCCAGCGCTGTGGCCTGGCTTCTCAGATGCACGGCCTCCCTCCCTGGGGGCTCAGGGTCGTGGACCAGCCCCCGCCAGGTGTCTGGGTGCCCTCCCCTTGTTCGTGTGCGCCCACCCTGCTCTGAGCCTCACCTCGCCGCCGTGGCCCCGTCCCTCCCTGGTGGCAGGCGGCACCGTCTTCCCGGGGCGCGGTGAGCGGTAGGTGTCGTAGGTGTTGCAGACGTCCCTTGGCCACACGTCACATGTGACACTCGTCGTGGTCCTGCCCCGTGTCTGCCAGGCCTGCGGCTTCGTGGCGGGCTGGACGACCGGCTAGTCGTGTTTTGGGTTGGCGGTCGGGGCCACGGCAGGCGGGCTGTCAGCAGGCACTTCCGTCACGGTGCACCGAGCCAGGTGGACTCTGAGGCTGCCGGCTGGGGTGTGCTGCGCCCGCCGTGCCTGCAGGAGCGCCCCCCGCCTCCCCAGCTCCTGGGGCGCAGACAAGCCCAAGCACGGCCTTTCCGGCTGTCTGCAGCTGGAGCCCGAGAGGGCCTGTTCGCAGGCACATCCCTCTTTGGGGTTTCACGCCGGCGGATGGGGTCCCCCCAGGCTGATCCCCAGGATGAAGCCGGGCAGTGGCTCCCAGTGCTGAGCTGTGTGGTGGCCGGGCCCTGGGCCACGCCTGGTTTCTGGAGGGCCACAAGGCCTCGGGTGGGCGAGAGCACTGCCTGCGGGCCCTGCTGGCCTTTGCAGGGCGTTTCCTGGGAGAGGGCGTCAGGCCAGAGCCCAGGGCTCAGGAGGGCTGGGCCGGAGATGGGAGGGAGCGTGTGCCACTGGAGCTTGGTGGCCTCTGGGGCGGGCGGGGCTGGA